GGTGCCCCCCCCCCCCCCCTCTCTCTTTCCCCCTGCAACCTCACCGCTTGAAGCGCCTGCAGCTCGCGGGGTCCAAGCTGCCGCCTCCCCGGCGCCACAGCCCCTAGCGCCATCGGAATCCCGCCGCCGGGTACCCTACCCCCGTCCACCCCTCCCGCCGCCGCCAACGCGGGTGCGGCAGCAGATCTAGCGGCCGCCGCCTGCGAAGCCGTCAGCCCTGAGGTCCTGCCTCTTGTTGGCCGCAACATCTCATCGAGGTCGCAAGAGGGTGAGAAATTTCCACCGCCGCCGCTGCCGCCGCCGTACAAGAGGTCGTCCACGTCGGTGACGGAAAAAGATCGGCGGGAGAGTTTATTCTCCGGGGGACTGAGCATGCGACGAGGCGTTTTGCAACCGGGCGGAGGGGGGTGAAAGAGCGTGCGGGTAGGGGCATGGGGCAGGGAGAAGGAGGGAGAGAGAGAGCAAGAGAGAGAGAGAGCGGAATAGAGAGAGAGAAAGAGAGAGAGCGAGAGAGCGAGGGAGAGCGAGAGAGATTCCGGCCGAGGTATAGCGCGTGAGGGATACGAGGAAAGAGAGAGCCACCAGTACAACCGTTGTTGTCATGCAAGAGAAAACGGGAGGACAGGTGTCGTAAAAATGCAAAAAAAATGCAGCATTGCTCCACGCTTGCTCGCCAGCCTGACACCAACCCGCCCCCCGCTCCGTCTTAGTCTGTGCGTTAATATTGTTTACCGCCGTCTTCTTACAGCAGTAGGACGACTATTGCCATTAAATTGTGGACCTCCATCCATGGTTCTCCAAGGAAAATATGGTGTGGATGGCTGAGCTTTATGGCGAGGGTCAGGCAAAGTCGTCCCCCCCTCTACAAGCTTTCTAACTAACAAGTGCGGTAATAACAGCGTCAGGGCAGGGTGGTTTGCATCCCCAGTCGAACGTGACAACCTTTGGGCGAAGCGGGCTACATACTACGCACAGAGCCACATCCTCAAGACAGACATGTACCCAACAAAAACAATTACATCTCGACTCACGTTGACAGAAAACGCTCCTGCCACATGCCCCGCTTGTCGTATGTCTGTTCAATGCTCGGCAATTCTCATCATCTTCCATACAGTTCGTGGTCCCGGTTTCGCGGTTCCCTATTTAGCGAAATGCCCTGAATAGCGGTTCCAAAATCTCTTGGCACGGCTGCACCTCGGTAGTCAAAACTACTTCTATATAACTGCCAATCCGGTTTTGTGGCGATGCCATCAACAGCGGCTTTCATATTATGATACTTTCTCACACAAAGGACCGCTAAACCCAACCAAGACTGTACCAATAGAGGCTGCTTGCTGCTTGCGTGGGTCTTGTTCTGTAAGCACGCACTTACCTACAGCTACCTTCTATTTTCTTTTCATTCTTGCCAAAATACCTCCCTTCATCGTACGCAGTGATCATGCATCCCGTCTTCTGAGTAACACCCCAAGCAGCCAAGAATACACTACGGCAAGTGAGCTGCTGCTTCTCCTTGTGCCCCTGCTTCTCCTTGTGCCCCTGCTTCTCCTGCGGCTGTTGTTACAAACCGCCGTACCACAACACCCAAGCAAAGCCAACTACCCTCGACGCTTCTACGAAAATTGAAAATTACACATAACCACAGAAAGGCTAGATACATTGTATCCGTTCGACATAACACTATTATAACACCACAGCAGTAGTCGGTGTGTTGAAAAGCCTTTGCAGTCAGTGGGGCGAAAAATAACGTTTCTTTCTTCACCCAGCGCCCTCAAAACGACTCCCTCTTTGACATAAAAAGAAAAAAAAGAAAAAAACGGGTCGTTCTGCGGCTGCAGGATGGACAATTAAAACTCACGCTTCTCCATTGATGCACGCCAGCATGTCGGCGTCGTCCCCCTCGTAGAAAGAGCTGCTTCGCGCCCTCGCTGACCTCGTCTCGCCCCCCACGGCACAATCGAATCCCCAGTGGGGATCGATGTCCGGCACCGTCAAAGGCCTGCCGTACAGAAGGCGCGACAGCAAGGACGCGGGCAAACACGGGTTAGAGCTTTATTGGCACTTCATGCTGTTGTTGCTGCTCGTGTTGACGGGCGCGGTGGGGGCCAGGCGGATTTGTTCTGTTGAGTGTGCACAAAGAGTGCGACATGCCGAACCATAAATAGCAACCCACGCACTTTCTATCTCAAGCAAACATGCTGGATCAAGCATGGAATCTGTGCAATGTCGGGGGTTAAGGCTTACACAGCAGCAGGAAATGAGCTGTAGGTAGTCCCGCTGAACCCAAGAGGCCGCGCCGAGGAGGATGAGCGGACTACGCACGTAACCTTGAACCACTGAAGGCGGACGAGGCGAACCGACTGCTAAGACTAACACCGCTCAGGCTTTGGCGGCTTCCCTGCAGCATCATGATTTGGATGGTCAACCTCTAACACTGCTGTTGTTGTTCGTTCTCCCTCTCTCTCTTGATGTTTTAGAACCGGCATCGAAACAAGTTAAGCTTCAGCCCTTCCCTATTAATTCTGCAGGCGAAAGGAGACATACGAAGTAGGACTAGATATATATACGCTCGCTGTTCTGCATTTTCGAATTTGCTTACTTCCCCCCGAACTTCAAAAGTCCTTTTTTTTTTTTAAGTAAATATAACCTCACAGAAAGACTAGCCGTTCGAGCTATTTCGAACTAGGGTTCGCATTAAACTTGAACCTGCGGCGGACGGACACACGGCACACGTGCCGTCGTCACACAATATCCGGCACGGACGAACTGACACAACCATTGGAAGCCGCCACAACGCAGTTCATACCCTTGCCCTCCTCTCAAATGCACCCCATACACGGCGGCAACGGTGTCTGTACACGTCCGTACCGTCTCTTGACTCTTCTGGCAACCCATCGTTTAGGAACAACCGGGAGTCACGCCGAAACATGTTCGTTCGATGTTTCATTTCAGTGCGGCACGTCAATTCCATATTTGTCTATGCGATTGTGAAGCGAAGGCAACAACAATTCCATTACAACACGACACGATCTGCACATCCTTCCCAACTCACACACCTAACCGCCACCGCAGGCATGTATCGCACACATCACAGCAGATTACTGGGTACCACGCAAAGGGCCGCATTCTCCCTGTATACGCACCAAGAACTTTTTTCATAGCTTAAACCGCTCGGCTCTGAGATTCTGCACCTCGTCAGCAAAAAGTGGTGCTAGTTTTTCATGTTTTCACAGCAGCACGCGTGGCCCGCTGCCGTGCTCCCGCCCTTGCCACCGCGCTAAGCGTGCTCTTTCACACAGAATCGCTCTGAAGAGCTCAACCGCTGCGCTTTGTGAGAGACTGAAGAGAACGATGCTAGACATGGAGAAGGAACGCGACAAACGTCGTTCCGTCGTAATGTTCAACCTGGAAATCTCGTTTTGTTTTGCTCCCTATGTATACATCAACAGCACACAACAACAGCAGCCACCACCGTCCACCATTATGTACCAGGCATGCTTTTCATCTTTGAGGTCAACCGCGTTGCTCGGTACAACCATCATCGCTGGTTTTTGTCGTGATCCACGTACTCCCCCAGGGGAGACCATGCAGTGTCATGAGTTATCATTTCCTTCAACATGGAAGCATGAACATAGCAGCAGCGTATGGCAGCGGTAGCAAAGGAAGAGGGGACGAACACATCCAGCAACTATGCATACTTGTATGCATGCCACCACCGTTCCAAGAGCCGCAGCAGTAGATTGCGGTCGCACAGGTTGGTCCCGGCATACTGTACCACTGCCAGGCCGGCCACAGCCGTTGTTACCAACGTTGTGGCAATCAACAATGACCTTTTCAAGGTGACTCGTGTTGCACTATGCATACAACCTTAGCTTTGGCAGCCGGTTGCTGGCACAGGGATGTTTGGTTTTCGTCTGTACAGCAGTACTCGTTGGGGAGGGAGTCACACAACGGCTACTAGCAGCTACACTGCCAGCGAGTTGAAGACTTTGCTCTAATTGTCGGAAAACAACCCCCTACAGTAGACATGAACGACGTTAGCTATGCATACACGGGGGACATTTCTCGTGTAGCCCGGCGAAGGTGGCTCTCCCAATCATCATCTTCACGTCACATCGTGCACCGAATAGAAAGGTTTCATATCAGACTGCTGACCGCCATCGACAACTATCGATGAGGCCGACAGATTTCGCATCGACTACACCGAAAGCCATGCTCCGGTTTCGAACGGATGACCGACAGCTAAGTGGTACCACGTGTACGTACGCAAAAAAATCACAGCACCCCACGGGCGCGACAACAATGCATGTGTAGCATACTTCTCGTGAACGTGTCACCCAAAGTCCACAAGTGGGTCGGAGAAACACACAATCGTCCGCCGTTTGCATCGACGATCACACCGTTAGCGATGAGCGTGGTATAATAGCCAGCCGACGGTAGGGAGCGAGTTCGTTCACGTTTTTTAGTTCCCTTGCATGTACGTACTCCGAAGTACATATGTGCTACATGAGTGAAATTCACCGCGGTTCTGATTCCATTGCCAATCCCTTGGTGAACGTTTGAACTTAAACTGCCTGAGGTGTGGGCCAAAGCGACACAGCCTACTACTACTGCTGTATCTATATTTTGATTGATGTGTTTTCTTCGCGACACTGCTGCTGCTGGTGTGGCGGGATCTTCGGGATCTGGCCAAGAAAGCGTTGTGGGGTATTTCAACGGGTGTCTGCTGTGTGTGTTTTACGGAAGTAGTTCTTCGAAAAACGCGTTGAACTCGTCAGTAGACCCACAAGTGAACCGATTTCTCTCTCCTCTCTCTCTCTCGTTGTCGGCCGGTTGGCTGGCTGCCTTCGTCAACAACATGATGGCGTGGAGTTGTGGAGATAGATGCCACTCACTCTCTTTGTGTTGAGCCAAACTCTCATTAAACCCGGTGACCTCAAACAAAACGTGAACATGTTCGCATGTTTCGGAATAAAGGAATAATAAAAACACACACAGAAAGACTACCCATTCGAGATATACCCACAGTCGAACGGGATGTGGTGGAGTCTTTTCAGTGAGTGGAGGGAAACCGGCTGGGAATACCTAATGCGAGAGGGGCATCAGTCACGAGCCTTGAGGAGACCAATCGGAACTTGCGTGTCATATCGTCTCGAATGGGTAGTCTTTCTGTGTATGGTATGCTTTTATTATTCCTTAATCGCGCACACGATACCAAGTTAAAAAAATGGCGCGGGTTATCTCGGATCGCATCAAACCAACCAACGACCGGCCGGGTTACTAGGGATTACTTCGTACTGCAGTCCCTGCAGGTTCAACACCCCGACCTGACAAACTATCTCATACCAAGTAATATTGAAACAAGGGAAACATCACCAAGTATCCATGGCCGAAAATTGCGAACTGGAACGGGGTACAAATATAGTGAACGACTCTCATCACTTATTGAAGCACACGTGTGGTTGCGTGATACATTCCTGCTTCTTTACAAAGACTACTGTTCCGATACGAACATAGGTAGGCATGCTTGTTCGCTGGCCAGGCTTCGGGCGAGGTCTGCCCCAAGCAAACACGAGGCACCGACGTTGTTCACCATACACGACTTGACTTGGACACGACAACGTCAGCAGAGCAGTTTGAACAATCGACTACTGCTGGCTGCAACCACACTCCGGCGGCGGGGGGGGTGTAAAAGAAAAGTAAAGTTCTCTGCATTTTCAAATTTGCAACAACGTGCTGGGCTTGGAGACGAAAAGAGACAACGGCGAAAGTAGGTGCGCTGTTTCCCCCCCAAAAATGACGTCGGAAAAACCGAGCGAGCATATTGGCCGCGTTTTCTTCATCGTGTTGGGAATGATGGTTACCGAAAGGGTAAGTAGGTGAACGTGGGAGAGGCGTAGGGACGCACAGATCACAGCGAGTTACTCCCGGGGAAGAGACCGCAGTACGCACATCACAACGCCGCAGAGGGCAAACACACACACACACAACAACACACCCAAAAAAGAACGGAGAGCGACCAGCAAACGTACGCGTTGCAACGTAGGATGGAAGAATCCTCCCGCGCGACAGAAAAATAATGTACTGAGAGAGAGAAAGAGAGAGAGAGATTCGGTGTTGTTGTCGTTAGCGTACAAAAAAACGTCGCACGATTCACCGCGCGAGAGAGTCAAACACGAGGCGTGCGCGTTTCATGCGTCGCGTCTCTCTCTCGGAGCGCCCTGGTCCTCTCACCGTTGCGCGTCGTCGGTTGCTGCACAGGAGTAGCCCTCGCCCGCTTCCTCCGCCTCCCCCTCCCCGTCCTCCTCCATCAAGGCGTTGCCCATTGCCCCCCACCCAAGGTCAATGTTGTCCGAAGAAGGCGCCCGGCCCGCCGCCGCGCTGTCGTCAAGCGCGGTGGGAGCATGATGGCCTAAGTCGCAGCTATCCCTCTCATCCAAGGCAATGAACGCCGCCCCCGCCGCCGCCGCGGCGAGGGCGGACGGGGGCCTCGTCGGTGAGATCGGCGAGGGGCAAAAAGTTGCAGGCGCTGAACCCATGATGTTGGCGCCGCCGGCCGCCGGCGATTCAGCGCCATCCGCGGCTTGGTGCAGCGATCCGGCCCGTTCTCTACCTCCACCCCCCCGATCTTCGGGAGGCTGGAAGTACATCTAATCCAGTCGCGCACCCGCCACAGTTGGCACGATGCAGCAGCTTTCCCCCCCCTACTCTTGTTGCAGTTTTTTTGTGGTCTGATGATGCGGGGGGCGTCCCTGTCTCCTTCCTGTGATTGATCTCTTTCTGCCTGCAGTTAAGGCCAATACTTCTTATTCCAGCTTCTCTTGCTCTACAATGTATGTATACATGGTTTTATCGACAACTGACTCTAATCTCTAATGACGTGGTGCTTTCGGTGTTAAGATCATGAAATACATTCCGCGGAGCCCCTCCCTTTCTTTTTTTCCCCCCCGCAACAGCAACACGCAACGGACGACAGACGGAATGTGCGAAAGACGTGCGTGTTGATTCAAAGTTTGGAGGGAGTAAAGCAATCGAGGATGGGGAATGAGTGTAAAACGCTGCCCTCGCTGTCCAAGCAACGATCATGTGGTCGTACGTGTGGCTGGTACATGACATCATCCAATCGACTCAATGAGCTTGTTGTGCCGCACTTACTTGCTCTCACGAGAAGGGCACATGCGCGCAGCGGACATGAGCGGCGCAAGACGCGTCGAACCACAAGGATTTGTCTGGCGGAATAGCTGTCAGCAAGTAGACCGGATTGTGCGCGCAGCACGCCCACTCGGCAAGAGATCCGCCCGCTTGCCTTCGAGCTGCACCACAGATAATGGCCGTCCCTGCACAGGTCCTAACCACCATATAATGCAGAGTTCTGTACTAGGACGCTAGCGATCACGGGTCGACATCATTATCAGCAAACACGACGTGCCACCTGAGCTTCACCGAGTAAGCGTCGTTCGGCATAAAGGGCCGGGGGATAGACGGGACCAAAATCCAACGCGCGGCGCGGAGGAAGGCGTTCCTACAGGGTGCTCTGTGTTTCTCCGTTGGCTTGAAGCTACGCGAGGTTTATTTTGCTCCGCACTCACACCCCCGGTGTGTGCCGGCTGGTCTGTCGTGCGGAGCTTTACTTTGTGTGCGTTACCGTGTGTCGTGGTCAACAACTCTGATCGTAGAGAGGGGTGTGTGTACGTGTGTATAGAAGCACCAACGTACATGTATGAATTTGTTCCGTGTGACGACCAGGTAGTAGGTGAGGTTTGGGGGGGCGGGTATATCATGTATGTGCCGGCGGTTTCGAGAGGGCGCATCTGAGAAACATTGTGTTGGCCAGGTTGGGAGCTCGAGCCCCTACTTAAGTGTGCTTTGTACAGCGTTTTAGTGCTCCAAATAAATTAGGCTGCAGATTGCGGTTGATCGTGAGAGTGCGTCCAAGGGAAGGAATTGCGGAGCAAGTCTTGCGATGAAAGAAGAAACATGCGCCGGCAGAGGCACCCTCCTAATCTGACCCAGGATCAGAGCCCCTGAGATAGAGAGGCATGACCGTAGGTAGGTAGACTAGGTCAAATCTGCGAATGGCTACTGTTAGCGGAACGGATGACAAGACGGACAAACGGACGTTGTTCGAGTGTTGCCACCGCAGGATCAAGTCCACATGTTTCGCTCTACGGCGCGCGCACCTGGATGTCTACGTTATCTCAATACTGAAGGACTGAACGCTCAACCATAGCCTTCTCGGCCATGCCACAAAGTTTGCTGTGGAATGGCGTGGCCTAATCCTACTTGATTGTTGTATGAAGATGTGTCTAAGAACGTGGGGTGTGTTTTGCCAAAAGAGGACAGACGGAGACAGAGAGAAATCAGCAAGCTACCGAGATAACGGACGACTCGAACTTTGCGAAAGGCAATGTCAAATCACGGGAGGTGATGGATGCTACAGCCCCAACTTTCTGTGCACTGAACAACACCACATGCGGGCCATTCTATATCACAGAAGAACCCGCAACAACACACCCAGGGTAAAATGGAAAAAGACACGGGAAAACGCTTGGACACCGTCACCCGTGCTTGGCAATGCTGGAGGTTTTGCCTCGATAAAAAAACTTGAATATTTACACCAAACCCGGCTTCACGTCTTTTTTTGCTGGAACCGCGCAGGCGAGGCCAAACCAAACGGTTTCTCGTTCCCCCGGAAACAGCAGCCTCTTGAGCCGTTGTGTGCTGGTTTACCGTCTAGGAAACGCAAAACCTGTACGTCGTCAACGAAATGCTGATCAAAGTGAGGCCTGGCACTTGGTCTGCAACCTGTCATTACGGGTTGTTGTTCGACACAGGGTGAAGCCCGCACCCGACAAGCTCAGCTTCTACCACCGGTGGCATTGCCACCGCTGCTGGCGCTGCTGCCTCTTTCACCGTCTCTCCGTGCATCCCCCGAACCGTATCCAGCAATGCCACCCTGGCGGCTTCGATGTCTGCCGCGTTTCTGCCGGCGAAGCATCTCCTCAATCGTTGCGTAAAACCCGCTCATGTCAACGGACGCAACACCATCGTCTCTCTCCACGGGCACTTCCCGGTCTTGGTCAATCTCTCCGTGTCGACCGACGCCTCCGGCGGCAGCAATAACCCCCGCTTCCCGCCCGCGCTCGACAACCTCTTGCGCGCGATCCCACTCCTCCGCGCGAGCGCACGCCGCCGCCGCCGTGTTGTAGCTGATCGCGTTGGGAGCGAAGCCGGAATCGGCAATCTCCTCCAGCAGGCTCAAGGCCTTCTCCCACTGGCCGGCTTTCCCGCACGCGCCCATGGCCGTGTTGAAGCTCACGAGGTCGGGTGGAGGGGCCGGCTCTTCTATCCACGTGCTCACGGCGGCGCCGTGGGCGGAGGCGTCCCGGTCGCGCGGGCCTGATCTCGCAGGCCTCTTGGCCGTGCCGCTCTTCATCTCCGCCAGGACCTCCAGGGCGCCTTCCCAAGCCTCCGCCCGCTGGCAGACGGCGAGGACAGTGTTGTAGGTCTTCACCTCGGGCGTGAGCCCGGCCTCTCGCATCTCGACCAACAGAAAATACGCTCGTCTCCACGAGTCGCGGCCCGCTTTCTCTCCGCCTTCACCTCTTCCCGCCGCCGCGTACCCATCCCCAGCCGCCGACCCCTCCTCCCAGGCAGCGGTCACGCCCGCCCGTTCCGGAGTAGCGCCAAATGCCGGGCCCGTTATGCCTCGAGAGACGGCGCGGATGACCGCGTTGAAGACGACCACGTTCGGCTCGGCGCCGGCCGACTTCATCTTCCGCAGCAACTCCAGCGCGACGTCCGCCCGACCCACGTCGCCGCACGCCGTGATCGCCGAGGCGAATGAGTACGCGTCCGGCCGGGGCACCGTGGTGCGTAGTCTCGCCCCCCACCCGCCCTCCCCGGCGGCGGCGCCCCCGGCGGTGCCCCCGGAGCCCTCCCCGAGCCGTACGGCGTCGCCGCTCACCATGCGGTTCAGGATCGCGGTGGCCTTGTGCCACTGCCCCTTCCCCCTGCACGCGAGCATGGCGCAGTTGAAGCTCTCGGTGTCGAAGACGCCCCTCCCTTCCATCTCCTCCAGGAGGTCAAGCGCGGTGGAACCCTCCTTGGCCCTCGCGCAGGCCGTGAGGGCGGCGTTGTAGCACACGAGGTTCGGACCCGCGGCGGGAGAGGACGAGATCGCGGCGCCCCCGCCTCTTGCCTCGGCCGCCAACGCGTCCCAGGCTGCCGCTGGCTCCTCCCGCGCCGCTGGCTCCTCGCCCCACGTCGCCGCCGAGGACCCCTTCCTCTGCAGAAACCGGAGAAGGTCGAGCGCCTGCTTCCACCTCCCCGCCTCGCCGAGGGTGGATATGACCGCGGCGTAGCACCCAAGGTCGGGGCTTACGCCAGCTGCTTCTTCTTCCCCGCTACCGCCGATGCCCGTGCCCGCTTTCGCCGCCGCTTTCGTCATCTCGTCTAAGACCTCCACCGCGCGCTGCCACTGCCCGCCAGCGCGGAGGCAGGCGAGGTGGCCGCCGTAGCTGCACACGTCCGGCCGTACGCCCACCTCCAGCATCCGGGGCAGGAGCGCGGTCCCTTCCTGCCACCGCCCGGCGATCGCGCACGCCTCCATGGCGGAGTTGAAGCTCACCGCGTCCGCGGCAGGCCAGGCAGCCCCCCCCCCCGTTCCTCCGGGAGCGCCTGCCGCCGACGTTCTTCCGACCCCCTCCCTAGTGTCCCTGCTACTATCACGACCACTGCTACCTCTTAAGTCCGGTGCCGCCGCCGTCGCCGACAAGAACGCGGCAGAGCTCGCGGCCGCGTCCCCCTGCTTTGCATCATCATCGTCGTCGCTACTGACACCGCCGGCCGAGGAGCTAACAAGCCCTCCCCCCGCCCGCGCCGCCATCCTGCCCAAGAGACCGAGCGCGCTCTCCCACTGGCCCGCGCGAGCGCACGCCGAGATCGCCGCGTTGATCGAAGCCACGTCGGGGGCGATCAGGACGCCGGTGCGCCGCCGCCGGAGCCCGTCGTCGTTGTCACCCCCGCCACCCATTTCCTCAAGCAGGTCCAGCGCCCGCTCCCATTGGCCCGCCTTTCCGCAGGCCGTGATGGCGGTGGTGAAAGTGAAGACGTCCGGGGCTACGCCCTCCGCGCGCATCTCCTCCATCAGCCCTAGGACGAGAGCCCAGCCTTCCTCCTCCTCCTCCTCCCCCTCCTTCTCCTCCTCGGCAGCATGTCCTCGTGGCTCGGCGACACCGTTGTTGCCGTTAATGCGAGTCTCTCCAAGTTTTCTTTGATCGCCGACGCACGCGTGGGCGGCGGCGTTGTAGCTCACGACCTGCAAAACAAGCAAAGATCCATGCAACGCAGCGACAACGGTTTGTAACCATCGTGCGAACGGGGCGCGGGGTTAGGTCAGAATGGCTTGAGGAAAACAAGACTAATTCCTTCACAGGGACCGAAATTAGACGCAAACATTGCATAGAGCGCAGAGCGACCAAATGGCACTGCAATCCATCATGCGCATGTCGAGCATGATTGTCAGTAACATTCGCCACAGCAGTTGTGCATCGGTTCACTGTTTTGGTGCGAAACACCTCCCGAGCCCACACCTCCATACAGTCCAAAAGCAAGTACACCACACATGGACTGATTGCACCTGAGAGGGATACGCTACAAAATAATTTCAGAACCTGCCAGATGGGTTGCCCAAGCGGGCAGCGTCGATTGGCCAACGTCTCTCACGTTCGGAGGTACCCCTTGCTCTCGCATGACGCGCAGAAGCGCCAGCGCCCGCCGCCATTCACCGCAGTTGCCGCAAGCCGTGATTGCCGCGCTATAACTAAAGACGTCGGGCCGCACGGCAGCCGGGGCCGGCGGCGACATAGCCGCACCGCCGTCGATGCCGGCCGCTGGGTCCGCTTTGAGGGCGGTAGCGGCGGCGGCGGCGGCGGCGGCGGCGGCCGCCTCGGCAGCGTTAGCAGTAAAGCGCATGTGGTCGAGAATGGCCAGTGCTTGCCTCCAGCGACCGCACCGTGCTAGCGCCGTGATGCACGCGTTGTACCTGTCGTTGGGGAAAAAACATCGCACAGGGAAGGCGTGTGTGCGGCGGGGTGGCATGAACATTTTGAGCGTTGGCACGGAAAGGGACAAGAGACGGAAAAAGGAACACGGGGAGGCGAGAAACCACAAAAGGTGAACTGCAGTTGTGTTCGTCCCCTGCGGCCAATTTGGGCGCGATCTACTTCAAAAGCGGTCGTGTACGCTGCGAGGTCAGCCAGCCTTCACAGCTGTACCGCTGTCGTTGCTCGCTTTGAGGCAAACCCCCTTAATATGCTCTTGCGTTTTTTCGTTGAGTAAGACGTGGGCCGTCACGCACGCTCCTGTAGCTTCAAGACTATAACAAACGGGTGTCTTCAGTTGCACAACACGGCTTTCATCAAGTTCGGCTCCCTCTAAATAGCACTACATGGCCCATCTTGCAAGACCCAAAAGTATTGCAATGATGCTATTGCTGAAGACCTTCCATCCCGACCGCATGATCGACAGAGCCACAACAAAGTGAACCGGAGCGCGGCCTGCCTGAGGCGCAAGTTTCTATATCTGATGACAGCACCTATGCACCAGCGCGTCTGTCTCTTGGCCACAAGCCTCGCATGCCAACCGCTTCCACCGGGTTGCTACGGTGAGTGCGACCGGTTCGAGTGTAACGACAGCAATGTTGTCGTAGGCTGGCACCACACCCGTAGGGTAGGGAATTCACACTGGTACTCACATGTAGATGTTGAACGGAGGAAACATTTCCCTCTTGACGTCCTCCATCAGATCCAGCACCTCCTTCGCCCGTCCGCGTAGGCCGAGCTCCACCACGCGCTTCAAGAACGCCTTCTGCCGTACTTTCACCAAAGCAGCATTGACCTTCGCATCGGCCTCGGATTTGGCCTCTCTGCTGCTGCTGCTGCTCGCTCTTCCCTCTGAACGGCCATCGTTTCCCTCCCCACCAGCTATTATCCTAGCTGCTGGCGGAGAGCCGTTCACCTGTTGCAGTTTTGGCCACCGAGTGAGAGGGACGAGGTGCAACATTCTGCCCGAACTCTGTTGTTGGCCAAGACAGGGTGAGCCCTGCATCAGTTACGTATACCTAGCTACGACGAACTCTTTGCGATATGTTGTAATACTAGATGCATCTGGTGAGTGATTGGAGGTGTCTGGTGAGGTTTCGATTCCAACTCTCGTTGACTGCAGTTTGTACATGTGTGTAAGAGACTTGAACGTATGGGCGAACGTTTGGAGATATCGCAGAATGTGCGTTCCCTGCCTCCAAGCCTCCCCCCCCCGAAGACAACCTCGATCCTGCGATAGAATGGTACATGCCAGGTGCTTGCTCTGCCGAAAAATATCGACGTGCACATGGTTCACCTACCGGTCAACCGGATTAGAAGCACCGGGACCTGCGTCTTCGGGAAAGAGGAAGCAACCTCGAAATGCTTGTATGGTCGGGCCGTATAATTGTATGCCGTCAAGGAATCTACGACCCAATCATAGAAGCAATTCGAGGTTGCTTCCGTTCCCCGAGGATGGCAGGTGTAGTCTTTTGTCTCTAGTGCCGGTTGATCCAACGTGAACCCTGTGCACATGTGCACGCGATTGTATTATGCGGCAGAGCAGGCCATTTAAAAAAAACACCTGGTACCGTTTGGTATTTATCACAGGATCAACGTTTTCTTGGTGGGGGGGTCGTCGGGGCAGGCAACGCACATTGTGCGCGTTACAAATCTCCAAAAAAGGTTCGCCGAACGTCTCCGCTTCGCCACTTCGATTTGCTTGAAGGAACCAGTTCCCCACAAGCCACCCTTACCTTCTACCTTCTAGTGAATTCATACGCTTCGTATGTGTGCTTTGACACAGCAGTAGATTTGGTGCTACAAACGCAGACGACTGATCTGCTGCATCCGTGCGCACAGAGACTAACTTTTGTTGGCACATGCAGACGAACGACCTGCTGGTTCGTGCGAACAGAGACTACTGCAGTTGTTGTCGACGCACTGCAAGAGGTCAACATGTGGGCAAAGTGGGCGGGTTCACCTGTTTCCCTCTTCGGGCTGACATAGTAGCAGCAGCGGTACCAGTTCCAGCATCGCCGTTACTGCCTTCCTCTGTACCCGAATCAGACTCGACAACCTTTTCCTCGCCGGCCCGCTGCGTTCTCCTCTGGGACTTCCGCTTGTCCCGGTGGTCGCTGCTTCTCCCTCTGCTTCTGGCGCTGCTGCCGCTGCTTTGCCCTAGACCCCACGCGGTTGATGCAGCTGCTCCGCGCTTCGTCATCATGCGAGAGAGTTGCTCGATGTTGTCGTCACCAGCCATCACCGCCGATGCGAGCTTCGTCTCGACGGAAAACGGCCGCGTCCCTGCTCCACCCACGGGAACGAGCAACGTTCGCGATGGGGCGCGGGCTGCGTGCCCCGGGCGTGGCCTGACTCGTGACCTGCCGCTTCTTCTCGACGCATGATGTGGCGGCGCCATGTACAACTTGATGACTTCGCTTGTGCTGTGCACGAATGCTTGTGAACGTGCTGAGAGTGCCGCATGTTGAAGAGGTGCCCCAGCACCATCGACGTCTAAGGCGCAGGCGGGCGCGGACGCCTGCGGGTGCATGGGCGTGTAGTACGAGTGGATAGCGAGTTACGTGAGTGCACGTGATGGGGGCGGACAGGAGCGCAACAACGTGCAACATGGAAGGTGCCGAGGGCCGGTATGCAGGAATATCTTTCGCGTGCCCCCCTGTCTAGTCGCGTTCGTATGATGTTCGTGTTGAGTAACCGCTTCGTTCCGCCAGCAGAAACGACACCGACACGCGACATCACCCGACGCGCGAGACAGAGACATGTGCTGAGAGTGGAGAGACACTACGGAATAGGTCTCGTCCCGCGAGTGATTCCAAGAAGAGGAAGGGCCCGCCTTCCAGTAACAAACGGCACCTAATTCTCGCTCGAAGCGCAGATCTGCAAATGAATTTTCCGTCCCATATTGTGCTTTTTGTGCTCCGCGACGCAACAAACTCGACTCAGAAAATAAGGGAAATATATCCCCCCCGGGGGGAATTCGTGGGAAAACTGGTACCCCGGGGGGAATTGAAACACTCGGGGGGATTTTTTTTTTTGTCGAAAACGATCTACCCCGGGGCTAAATCAAAGAAACCATGCTTCCAGGCCGAAAAGGTAATGGGGGGGGGGGGGGGGGGGGGCACCCTCAAGGGGGGGAAAACCCCAAATTTTAGGGAAACGGGGTCCTTTTTTCCCCCGGGCCCCCCGCGGATTTTGCAAAAAAAAAAAAAAAAAAAAAAAAAGGGGGGGGGGGGGGGGGGTTT